AAACCTGACACTAAAAGTTCACGTTGGCCCTTTAAGGAATGGAGTCTGCTGGCGTCCACGAGACGACCTTCAACAGCATCATGAAGTGCGACGTAGACATCCGTAAGGACCTGTACGCCAACACCGTGCTGTCTGGTGGCACCACCATGTTCCCTGGTATTGCTGACCGTATGCAGAAGGAGGTCACAGCTCTGGCCCCACCCACCATGAAAATCAAGGTACTTGGTTGAAGTATTTGATGTATTTGTTTGGTCCAACCAGTGATGACTAGAATCCTCTAAGAGAATCTTGAGTCCTGAACTACCTCTTCTTCTCCCTCCCATTTTTTTAGATCATCGCTCCCCCAGAGAGGAAGTACTCCGTCTGGATCGGCGGTTCCATCCTGGCCTCCCTCTCCACGTTCCAGCAGATGTGGATCAGCAAACAGGAGTACGACGAGTCCGGACCTTCCATTGTTCACCGCAAGTGTTTCTAAGACAAAAACGCTGCAGGATTCCTGCCAGCACGGAGTAGCTGGACCGTTACGTTCCAGAATTTACTTCTTAATTTTCACTATCTACCTCCATCTGCCGAGCTCTATCAATGACAACAACAATTAAACGTCAGTATTGGTTCACCATTCCACTTGTCGTCTGTCGTCGTCTGTACCTGCATCGGTGTTGAAATGCTTTTGACGAGGTTTCGCTGGCGTGAGGCGTAAAAACTGTAACGCACGAAACAATTGACAAATTAATTTAGGGGCAAATTAGGTGAAGATGTTGGACCCAATAATGTTGGAGACGGAGCCGTCAGGGACGAGGGCCAGACGAAGTCCATGTTTTCCCTTTTGTTTTCAATATACGTATATATATATATATTCATATATATATTGAAAATGTATTTGAAATAATGAAGTATACGACAAAACATCATTAACATGTTTGGGCTTTTTTTTTTTCCACTTTCAACTTTCATCAAGAAAGTCGCATTGTACCCACCAGCAGGCCAGTTTTAGCCCGCGGGTCGTATGTTTGCAACCCCTGCTATAGAACAAGCCCAGATCAAAGAGTTCTCAGACATGTTACAATCTCGTGTCACTAACTTGACACATTTAATCACAGTACTGCGCAAGTGTATGCACTCCACATGCATTCCCATGGCTTCTCATTTTTAAGTATTTAAAGACATGCTAACATGCTAATTTACGCTCAGGCTAATTAAAAAAAAACTTCTCTTAAACAGACAGTCTGAGCTGAGGGCTGCCGTCCTAGCCTGATAGCCAGGGTGCCAAAAATTATTTTGTCCGTGGTAAAATTAAAAAGTGTTCACCTCAATTGTATTTTACCACAAATGCGACGCGCCATCTAGTGGCCTAGTATGTCATCGCAACTTAGTGATGCAAGCACAAACGAATGATTAAATGCATCAAAATTAATGTTAAATAAATATATGTTTGTACTAGGGATGTCCAAAATTATCGGACCAATATTTACATATCTGTAAGAATAGTTTTTTTCCTGCAATAATAATAATACGATAACGCAATTAAGCACACTCTAAAAAAAGTTTGGTGAAAAAGAAACAGCATATTTCATTAATCTATTTGAATACTCAGGGGATTGTATGCAGAATTTTGGTACCAGCAACTCAGTGATATTTGGGGGGTGTATATCAGTACCAGTTAATATCAGAACGGGAAATTAAGTGTTTGGACGCTAGTCAGCGAATCGGCTAAGAGTTAATATTGTAACACCATTCCCTCCAATCAACCCTTTGAAGACAAAAACAAAAAAAAAAACCAAAAAAAAACCGGCACAACTTGTAAACAAATATGGCACTTTATTCATTTATTCGACACTCAGTTGACAGCCCAGAGAAGAGACGAGACCAGCGACAAACTGACATGACAAGAGTCGCCGGCGGCCGTTTCAAGGTGATTTACGCAAATGATGAAGATGTCGTCCGGTTGATGTAACAGCTGTTTGTAGAGGTTTACGTCCAGGGCAGAACACAAGCTTGATGAGTAACAAAAATCTCCCTCCAACTCCCATACACTTTTTTTTTTTCCTCTTCTCCCCCTTAGAAACACTTGCGGTGAACAATGGAAGGTCCGGACTCGTCGTACTCCTGTTTGCTGATCCACATCTGCTGGAACGTGGAGAGGGAGGCCAGGATGGAACCGCCGATCCAGACGGAGTACTTCCTCAAAAAAAAAAAAAAAAAAAAAAGGGGAGGGAGAAGAAGAGGTAGTTCAGGACTCAAGATTCTATTGGGAGGATTCTAGTCATCAATGGTTGGACCAAAAAAAAACAAATACATCAAATACTTCAACCAAGTACCTTGATTTTCATGGTGGGTGGGGCCAGAGCTGTGACCTCCTTCTGCATACGGTCAGCAATACCAGGGAACATGGTGGTGCCACCAGACAGCACGGTGTTGGCGTACAGGTCCTTACGGATGTCTACGTCGCACTTCATGATGCTGTTGAAGGTCGTCTCGTGGACGCCAGCAGACTCCATTCCTTAAAGGGCCAACGTGAACTTTTAGTGTCAGGTTT